CCGCTCACAGTGGCTGCTGGCAACACACGGTAGCCCATGGCAACCCACTGCCACAGGGGCTGCAGCCTACGCCATCGCCGGTGACTCATGGCAGCCCAGCTCCAGGTTGAGCTGTTGTTCAGCATCTTAGCTGTAGAGGTCATTGTCACTGGCCCTCATATGTGGGATCCGAACCGGGGCCCTGCTGCTCAGAGCTGGCGTCCCAAGCCAGCTCTTAACCAAAGTGCTACTCGGCCAGCCCTCAATAAATTTTAAAAGATTGAAATAATAAAGTATGTTCTCTGACCACAATAAAATGAAAATAAAAACTCAATAATAGAAGGGAATTTGAAAAGTTCACAAATATGTGGAAATTAACCCACACGCTTATAAATAACCAGTGGGTCAAATAAGAAATCACAAGGAAACTTAGAAATACTTTGAGATGAATGAAAATGAAAACAGAACTTACCAAAACTGATGGGATGCAATAAAAACAGTAAACAGAGGGAACTGTATACCTACAAACTTGTGTATTAAAAGGGAGAAAGGTCTCAAATCAATAATTTAGCCTACCACCTTAAGAAAATGAAAAAAAAGAGCAAACTAAACCTATAGCAAGCAGAAGGAAGAAAAAAAATTAGAAGAGAGGTAAAATAAAGTTTAGAAAACAATAGAGAAAATCAAATGCTGGTTTCTTGAAAAGATCAACAAAACTAACACCTTTAGCTAGACTAAAAAGAAAAAAAAGACCAGACTCAAATTCCTAAAATCAGGAAAGAAAGTTGGTATATAATACCAACTATAATAATGTAAAAAGCATTTTAAGAGAATAATATCAATATGTGAATGGCAACAAATTAGATAATTTAGATAAAATGAGGAATTTCCTAAAAGTACTCAAATTACCCAAACTAACAATATATAGAATATCTTATTTGACATTTAACAAGTGAAGACATACAGTTATTACTTAAAATCTTCCAACAAAGAAAATCCTAGATGGTTTCACTGATGAATTGTACCAAACATTTAAAATATTAAAACCAGTCTTTCTGAAACTCTTTAAAAAAGTAGAAGAGGAAGGAAACTATCTAACTTATTCGATAAGGCCAGCATTACCCAGATGCCAAAGACAAAGATGTCACAAGAAAAAAAAGCTACAGCCCTATATCTCTTATGAATATATAATAGATGCAAAAATCCACCATAAAACACTAGCAAACCAAATCCAGCAGCATATCAAAAGAATTATACACTATAACCAAATGCAGTTCATCCAAGGAATGCAAGAATGGTTTAATATTAGAAAATTTATCAGGGCCAGCCAGGTGGCTCCGTTGGTTAAGAGTTAGCTTAAGAGCACGAGCTCTGAGCAGCAGGGCCACTGGTCTGATTGCCACATGGGCCAGTGAGCTGTGCTCAAGTTGAACTGCTGCTGAGCTACCAACAAGTGGCAGGATGGCTCGGTGGATAGAGCGTGCGCTCTTAACAACTAGGCTGCCGGGTTCGACTCCTGCATGGGATGGTGGCTACACCCATCCACAATTAAGATTGAACACAGCACCTTGAGCTTAGAGGCCACGAGATCTGATGGGAAGCCAGATGGCGACTGGCGCCCTCCACAAGGAAGACTGAAGAACAACAACTTGGCTGTTCCCCTTCCCCAATTCCCCACCACTGTTCCCCTCCCCCAACTCCCCAATTAAAAAAAAAGTTACTTTACATTTGAGTCTTTCTTTTTGTAATTCCTTTGAACTTTAAAGCCAGCATCAAGAAAGAGGAAGTGGGAAGTCAGTGTTAGGACTGGGTTACTGATAAGCCAGGCAACTGGTTTATTGTCTTTGCTTTTTAACTTTTATTGTGTGTATTTATTTTTATTGTTCACTTTTTTATTGTGTTCACTTGTCATAGAGCACTTTGGCTCTTCATACGAGGACCTCTTTCACCCTAACCATCATCTAAGCTCCTCCGTCATTGGTCCACCATACACCAGAGAAATGTTTCAAGAATTTCCCAATGTAGAAGCACTGGTCACTTAGCAGATAGCCTGTGAAAAACACAGAAAACAGAATATACAATATTTAAATCACTGCTAGTTAAAGCACCCTCAGGCTAGCATTGCTAATTTTTTAGTGTTTTCGTTCTAGTCTCTCTTTATGAGTTCCTCCTGCAAACCACCACTCCCGGTCCCAGAGACCAGAGAGCTAAAATCAAAGATTTTAGGATGGCTTTTAGGAAAGATTTTAGGACAGATTTAGGATGGTTGGGTGCATTTTGTCTTTCCTTGTCTGACATGTTAGTTACAATTTTTTCTTAGCTCTTTTGAAATAATGAAAGTATAATGTAGTTGAAAATTGAACGCATAACCTAAGAAATCTGGGTTTCTAGAAAACTTGGGGGATGGAAGAGAAGTGGGAGGTGAATGAATCAGCCATATTCTGGGAAGGTGAGTGGAGTTGGAAAGTTGATAGATCTAATAATTTATTGGCTCAGGGTTTGTCAATTACTACAGCACAGCAAATGAGATTAGAGCAGAGTTGGGGGGGGGGAGGGAGTGACGTAGGAAGCTATTGGCATCAAGAAAATCTAGCCAAGAGACAGCTGCATAATCATATTGCAGCACTGTTTTTTGGTTTTTTTTGCACCAGCTGCTGCCTGCGGAGGTGTAACCACTGCGGCTGTCTGCGGTCTCCGGCCCGTTCCTGCAGCACGGGTCACAGCGTCCATCGCCATCCTCTGCACCTCAGCCCAGGGCACCGCAGCCTCTGTCCGGTTCTCACAGTCTTAGCACCGCCTTCGTCCCTGCAGTCCGGCTGCCGCCGCTCCTTCCACCTCCGCCCCAGGCACCGCCGCTTCTGATATTGCGGTGAGTCTTTCCCTGCGGCGGTCAGATCCGATCTTGGCGGTAGCCACCTGACGCGTGTACAGTCCTTCGAAAAATGGCCGAGTCAGCCGAACACACGGAACTATTAGAGTCCAGTCAAGAAGAGGCTGGTAATAAGGGGATGATGGAGGGGCCGGGAAAACTACCGGACTGCAGCGAAGGAGCCACCGCTGTGCCTGGGGAAGGCGGGCAAAAAGGTGAAGATGCTGATGAGGACTCAGGATCAGACCGGCCAAAAGGACTTATGGGTTATCTTTTAGATACGGACTTCGTTGAAAGTCTACCTGTGAAAGTTAAGTTGCGTGTGTTAGCCCTTAAAAAGCTTCAAACTAGAGTGGCAAATCTAGAATCCAAATTCCTGAGGGAATTTCATGGAATTGAAAGAAAGTTTGCTGAAATGTATCAACCCTTATTGGAAAAAAGACGTCAGATCATCAATGCAATCTATGAACCTACAAAAGAGGAATGTGAATATAAAGCACACTCTGAGGACTCTGACGACGAGATGGATGATGAGGAAGAGATGTGTGGTAATGAGGAGGGTCTGGTACATGAATGCATGGATGAGGATGACGGTTACCAGGACGATGATTATGATTATGCTGGTGAAGAGGAGGAGGCCGACCACGACGATGACGATGATGATGACATCGAGGCTGCTGGAGAACATAATAAAGAAGAAGAAGATCCTAAAGGAATTCCTGATTTTTGGCTGACTGTCTTAAAAAATGTTGACACACTCACTCCTGTGATTAAGAAATGTGACGAGCCTATTCTGAAACTGCTGACAGATATTAAAGTGAAGCTTTCAGATCCTGGTGAGCCTCTCAGTTTCACACTAGAATTTCACTTCAAACCCAATGAATATTTCAAAAATGAGCTGTTGACAAAGACCTATGTACTGAAGTCAAGGCTGGCATATTATGATCCCCACCCCTACAGGGGAGCTGCAATCCAGTATTGCACAGGCTGTGACATAGATTGGAATGAAGGAAAAAATGTCACTTTGAAAACCATCAAGAAGAAGCAGAAACACCGGATCTGGGGAACAATCCGAATTGTGACCGAAGATTTCCCCAAGGATTCATTCTTCAATTTCTTTACTCCTTATGGAATCAATTTAAATGGGAAGGATGGAAATGATGATTTTTTACTTGGTCACAATTTACGTACTTACATAATCCCAAGGTCAGTGTTATTTTTCTCAGGTGATGCACTTGAATCTCAGCAGGAGGGGGTAGTTAGGGAAGTTAATGATGCAATTTATGACAAAATTATTTATGATAACTGGATGGCTGCAATTGAGGAGATTAAAGCCTGTTGCAAAAATCTTGAGGCAATAGTGGAAGACATTGATCGCTAACGCAGGGTGTGCATGGCCCTGGGATTAACAGCCCTAGTTCTAGTTACCGAAAAGAAGTTAATTATTCCTGGGTTCTGAATTTTTCTTAGTGTTAGTTAAAGCATATGGCTCAGAAATGTAAGAGAAGTTCAAATACTAATTCATTTGACCTTGCATTTTAGTAGTAGAATGATTTTTTAAAATGTAGACTGTGGTTTAAGACATTAATATAGTCTGGTGTGCTTGAATTTTTCTGAAGTCCTTTTGTTATGTAGCTACTAATCTGTGACTGTGAAAATTATCCAAACTGATAAATGAGATCAATATTTATTTGGAAAGAAAATCTTGGAGAACCCACCCAAGGCTTTTTGCTGTTGTTGTTTGGGTACTTTTGTTTTCTTAGTCCTTTAGGTAGTGGGTTTAATTTTGTTGTACCTGCTTCATTTTGCAATAAAAATGCAGTGGAATTTAAAACTTGAATGCTTAAAAAGAAGCCTGCATATGGTTAAGCATTTCAGGCAAAACCAAATTTATTGTTAATAACAGCTAGTTCATATGCTCTTGTATTGTGACCATAACAAATAATGAAACTTACTTATACTGAAGTTATTGTTTATCAGTGAAGTATTAATCACAGTATATTCAAAAGATTGCCACATATTGTTCTGTGTAATTGCGTAAGCAGTAATTACAATGTACAATTTTTCTTTTCCTATAGTACATTTAGTCTTTCATTGAAAGTAAACCCTTTACCATTTCGAAAAGATTTTTCATGTTCTTTCATTTCAAAATAAAACAAATAAAAATTTCAGAGTGTTTTATGTTTTTTTTTAAAGATTTTTTATTGGGGAATTGGGAACAGTGCTGGGGGATTGGGGAAGGGGAACAGACAAGTTGCTGTCGTTTTGTTCTTCAATCTAGTTGTGGGGGACGTTGCTTCACTGGCCCAAGTTGTCACCATCACTGCGCTCTTCCTGGGCGAGGCAGATCAGTCGCCGGCTTCTGGACGGCTGCTCACTGCGGCTGCTGGCTACATACGGTAGCCCATGGCAACCCACTGCCACAGGGACTGCAGCCTACGCCGTCGCCAGCGACTCACAGCAGCCCAGCTCCAGGTTGAGCTGTTGTTCAGCATCTTAGCTGTAGAGGGCAGTGTCACTGGCCCTCATATGTGGGATCCGAACCGGGGCCCTCTGGCATCCCAAGCGAGTTCTTAACCATCGCGCCACTCGGCCGGCCCCAGAGTGTTTTATGTTTTAAAACTGATCTCTGCTTCTGTTTATAAAAGTAATATGTTCATTGGAAGACATTTAGAAAATATTTAAAAATACATTAATTAAAATTTAAACCCATATTCCCACTCCCCAAAGCACTGTTAATGTTTTGATTTACTTTTACTATTATTTTTCTATGTGTACACATGATGTAAATTTACTAACACTATACTTAGACATGCAAAGAAAGTGTAACTTTTTTATTGTTTATAACTGATTTAATCTCAAACCTGGGCCCACCTCCACTGTCCAACATTGTGGGGAAACAAAAGCCTCAAACTGACACAATCCAGTAAACTCATTGCTATTTAGTAATTTAAACACTCTGTATAAATAACAAGCTCCTGTGTGTTAGTCTATAGTTCAGGTTTCCCTACCCTTCTACAACATTATCTGGAATGTACAGGGGCTTATATTCCTTTATGACATTGGGGGGGGGGGTACACTGACTGGGGACAATGGGATGTGATTGGTCAGAGAGCCTTGTTGTCCCAGAGCTGACTTTGCCTTCCTCATGTGTGGAAATGGCAGAGATTTGGTTTTCCCCTTGGGGAAAGTCACATGTATCCCCTTGGGACAACAGGGAACTTCTTAATCCTTGTAATGCCTTGCAAGAGAGCTGAGAGTGCCCGGGAAGTGATAACTCTCTCTCGTTCTGGCTGCCTGGCACCCACTCTTCCATCCCAGGTGGTAGTGATATGATCCCACAGAATTATTAAATGAAAATGGGACAAAAGCTCCTCTGCTCATGACTTATTCTTCCACTATCGGACATACTTCCTCCTTCAGATTTGAGCTCGAAGAGGTAAGTTTATAACACTGCCTGCTTTTCTTACCTCTGTCTCATATCTCTACAATCGACTGCAGAGGAAGGCATGGGCTTTTCCTTTCTTCTTCCTGTCTGGACAGGACCCTCCTTTTTACGGTATGTTTCTCCCAAGTACAATGGTAGATGTGCACTTGCTTTTCTCTGGGGTTGCAAGAGGTGACCGTGTATAGGGAAACAAACGCAACTTACTATTATAGGGAAACCTAAATATGGAAACACTTCCAATGAATACTTGGTAAATGTAGACTTTTTCACACTTGTCATCACTGTTAATGTTGACCTCTACTACATTCCTGACTTCCTCCCCTAACTTCTCTCACACAGAAAGATTACGCCCCCCCCTTTTTTGTTTAAGATTTTATTGGGGAATTGGGGGAAGGAACAGGGTTGGGGAATCGGGGAAGGGGAACAGACAAGTTGCTGTCCTTTTGTTCTTCAGTCTAGTTGTGGAGGACATCGCTTCGCTGGCCCATGTTGGTATTGTGATCATTGCGCTCTTCCTGGCTGAGGCAGATCGGTCACCAACCTTTGGACAACCGCTCACAGTGACTCACGGCCGCTCACACCGGCTCCTGGCTGCTCACGCTGGCTGCTGGCTACTCACGGTAGCTTACAGCAGCCCACTGCAGCCTACGCCATCACCAGTTGACTCACAGCAACCCAGCTCCAGGTCGAGCTGTTGTTCACCATCTTAGCTGTAGAGGACTCAGTATCACTGGCTCATGTGGGATCTGAACTGGCAGCCCTGCTGCTCAGAGCTCGCGCTCCCAAGCCAACTCTCAACAAACAAGCCACTCAGCCGGCCCGATTAGGCTCCTTTTAATTGTGGTTACTGTTACTTTGCATTAAAAAGTCAGGAATATGGCTGTATCTCTCCCTCCTGTCTTTCTCTTGCCTTAATGACACAGAGCAGTAAAATTGCTTCTGGGCTCTCTGTAAGGGCAGGCCAGTCCCTTTTGCTGTATCTTTCATGTCAATGACCTACAACCAATGACCACCAGGGAAATACCCATAGTTGAACAAGTTAGGTTTTAATCATTGCTGTGAGGAGAACATGCATCATGCAGAAATGTTGTATGTTATTTGTAAGTGGGTGTTAGAAAACATATTGCATGATTTGGGCTTTGGTTATGTGATTTGGTGGAGGGTCTAACAAAGTGGAGGTTTACTCTGTATAAGGAACATTTTACAATTTTGGTAGCTCAATAAATCTTATCTATAGGGAAAAAAGACTAGAACAAGAATAAGGCTGTAATAATTGGTGAAAAGCCACTCATTTTAGCTACAATGGCAGGGGTGTTTGGTATTCTATGGGTGGCACAGTGACCTTATTTTTGTCTATGCTTAGGCAAAATTAAGTAGCCTTGGTTTGTCTCATTTTATTGTAGTCCCAGAGTAACGTTGTCTGAGGTTGCCATTCTACGAGATGGTTTATGTCCAGTAGGAAAACAGCATGGCCTAGCTGTGAATATCAGGCCCACTTTCCGATGTCAGGGACTGCTTTTTATGTTTCTTTGTCTTTTACCCCTTCTCAGGAATGAAGTTTGAGGCTGCCATTTCTCCCATGGCTTGTGGTGGGATGGAGGGACATTTGATTTGAGTTTAGACTAGTGTAAAGGCCCTTTAGGTCTTGTGGGTAAATCATTACTTTCAGCCCATACTAGGGTTTAGGGCACAATTGTGACTCACAATAGAGCTTTACCTTAATTCTTTTGTAATTGTTCTTTAAAAAATTTATCATTGGGCCGGCTGAGTGGCGCGATGGTTAAGAACTGGCTTGGGATGCCAGAGGGCCCCGGTTCGGATCCCACATATGAGGGCCAGTGACACCGCCCTCTACAGCTAAGATGCTGAACAACAGCTCAACCTGGAGCTGGGCTGCTGTGAATCGCCGGCAATGGTGTAGGCTGCAGCCCCTGTGGCAGTGGGTTGCCATAAGCTACCGTGTGTAGCCAGCAGCTGCCGTGAGCGGCCGTCCAGAAGCCGGTGACTGATGTGCCTCGCCCGGGAAGAGCGCAATGATGGTGCCAACTTGGGCCAGTGAAGCAATGTCCTCCACAACTAGACTGAAGAACAAAACAACAGCAACTTGTCTGTTCCCCTTCCCCCAATTCCCCAGCACTGTTCCCATCCCCCCAATTCCCCAATAAAAATCTTAAAAAAAAATTTATCATTATACAGTCCTGGAGGGGTTGTTGAGGGGATTGTTGGGCCTTGTTACAATTTTGATACTTTTGAGGAATATACTAAAATATGTAAATATAATTCCAGTTGGGGATACATAATTTATAGTGTAAATTTTAGTATTTATAATCTAATTTATATATCATATGGCAGACTGGTTAATCTTTGAAGCCACTCTGCTTGGATTCCAATGCCAATTCTGTAATTTATTAGTTGGGTGACCTTGTGCAAGTTACTTTATGTGTCTCAGTTTCTTATTTGGAAAAATATGTAATAATTGTGCACTACCTCATATAGATTATTATGAAGATTGAAGTCAAAGTGGGCTTGTCTGCCTGCTGCTAATGGGAAGGTACCCAGAGGAAACAGAAGGATAGGCGGCAGCATAGAGGGAGCCTCGTGGCCTGGTTAGCATTTGGTCTGACACTTGGGAAAGAAAAACTGAAATGGATGGCGTGGGGAGAGTTCTGGAAATGACAGTATGGGACGCTTTGGTTGAGTTCAGCCTTATGGCGATTCAAATTTAAAATTCCTGTAGAATAGCTATTCTTTTGGTTGATGAATTACAATGCCACTTTGGACCATGGCCAGATTTGGAGGTCAAGTGTATATAAATGCAGGTATATACAAGTATGTAAGAAGTGGTGTATGTAAAAGGCATATCACTGGTTCTGACACACACTGAGCACTCCCCTTAGTTACTAGGGTAGGTGTATATGGAAGAAGAGATCAGTCAATGATATGTTAATAATCTAGTTGTAATCCACTGCCTCTGTAAATGAAAGAATCCATGTATTAATTTAAACCTCATACAAAAGGCTCTGCATTTTGAGAGTATCACTCGGCCATGAGAAGAAAGCTTTCCAGGCAGTCTTATTTGGTAAGAATGGTACTGAAATAAAAATTTCACAAGGAAACTTCACGCAAATGCTAAAAGGTGACTGATGTTAACTAAATTTTCTATTTCACACTTAACATGCTCTCAGGCACGCACACACACCCACACCCACACACACAGGACTGGGTGATCCAGAGTGAGAGGAAGCTCATGGTCAGAGAGATTCACAACAGGTGGAGCTAATATGGAGTGCTTTATCATTTAATATTTCTTCATCAGCTATCAAGGTGAAAGGAGGTAATAAAAACTGGTAGTGTGTGGGTGTGCATGTTCACATCTATGCATGTATGTGCACGTTTTAATGCAGAATATGCCAGTAACAAGTGGAAATTATATTTAGACAATAATCTCTGTTGTCCAAAACATCACGTAGAGTTTGCCAGGATTCCTATAGATAAGGGAAGAGGGAGTGGTTTGTGATGAGTTCCCATCCTCACTATGATGAAGTACTTTTTATTTTATAGCTTAGAGGAATTGAAAAGGTGATTTTACTTGCCAAGACACATATTAGCCAATTTAAGACACTTGCATTTCATGGTGTTAAACTTGCATACTCTTACCATAAGTTAACATGGTATTTGTAGAACGTTTCAGCATTGAGTCATCACT